CACTAGGCTCCTGATCAAGCTCCCGATCCTATCCGGTTCCCTATTCGATCAGGTTCCTGATCCGATCAGGCTCCCGAACCAATCAGGTTCCCGATCATATCAGGTACCGATTTGACTTCTCCCCTAGGGCTCTCCCTCCCCCCTTTCCACTCTCTTGCTCCCCTTTCCTTTCTCTCTCTCCCTTTACGATCCCCTACCCACTTCCCTTTCTCTCCCTCCCCCTCTCTCTCCGTCCTTTCTCTCTGTATTGCAATTCTACACAACTTTCTTTTTTCTGGATTTTTGGGGATTAAAAAATATAATAATATTATTTTTTTGCGCTGGGGCTGCCCGGGACCATGTCCGGGGGGCATGCCCGGCTGGGCACCGGGGCGCGTATCCGGGGACAAGTTGGGTGCCCGGGCCCGGGCACCTGGGAAAACAGCCCAGGCAGTTTTTCCATTTTCTCCGAAGTTTTTGGGGGTCCCGACGAGGCTCAGCAAGGGGCTTTGTGGGCCCGTTTGAAGCACAAAAAGAAAAGGAAAAAATGATGTCGGGGATGGCCGTGAAGGAGGTACTGCACCCATCTATACTTTCAATTCCATATCTGACTGGAAATTCAGGTTGTGTTCTTGATTATTCTTTTCTTTTCTTATAGTGGCCTGCCACTGAGCCAGGGTGCACTCCATGGGCTATTGACAGTAGAGTCATGGAGTGCACACTCACACCACTACCAACAACAATGTGTCATCCCGATTTCCTGTCCTTAGGGCAGTGTCGTTTTTTTTTTGTTTTTCCTTCTCTCGTGTGTCAGTGAGGCCGCTGTAACGCCCTCAGTGAGGGCACACTCACAGAAGTACTGTGCTTTCTGTATCCACCCGCTATGACGTCCAAACGGTTGTTTCCTTTTCGTTTCTTTCTTTCATGGATGCAACACCGAGTTCTTTTTTTTTTTTAACAATTGTGCAAGGAAAATGAGCAATAGCGAAATGACAGATTCCAGATTGCAAAATCACATTGAAAGCCATGAACTACGACACTGTCCAGAAAGCAGATTGCACCGATATTACACCAATCGAGAACCAACACACTGAATCCGAGTGTAAATGAGAGCATACTCTCACCATCACCAACATAAGTATCCAGAGCCCTTCCCCCTATCTGGCACTCGGCACCCAGACTACAATCACTCAGCTACTACCAGCCTACGAATTGACAATGCAACTGTTGACGTCAGCAGCCGAACCCAAGTACATGAAGATGTCGACTCTTGTAGACAATCGCCAAAACCAGGTACGTGCCCTCACATCATCATCCTCATCTCTCTCTCTCTCTCTCTCTCTCTCTCTCTCNTCTCTCTCTCTCTCTCTCTCTCTCTCTCTCTCTCTCTCTCTCTCTCTCTCTCTCTCTCTCTCTCTCTCTCTCTCTCTCTCTCTCTCCTCCCCCCCGTCATCGTATCTACCCGCACCTTCTTCCTCACACATGAATACCACTACCACCCGCTGACTGTCCAAGCCCGAAGCCCGGCTATGGAGGGCTGGGCTATGGTGCTGCCCTCAGCAGCACCCTGTTTCCTGTCGACGCCCGCATGCGCCCATGCCTTGCCACTAGCGCAGCAAGCAGCCCGCGAGTCGATGCTCCAGCAGAGCTCCCGCCTGCAAGTGCAAATGCACGAATGCCACCACTCGTGCCAGGCATCTTGCTGTATGCAAGTGGCCTGGCCTGTTTGCTGCTCAGGGCGATGTCGTGTGCCCAGTAGCTTCAGATCGGGCCGAAGTGTCTGCACCCAGGCCCGTTCAGACAGTGGCCTCTTGATGGCTCTGGATTGTATGGAAGGAAAGGCAGCAGAACTCTTGATGGCTCCAACAACCCAAGAGATAGCATCTGGACAGCTACCAGGTCACTGATTCAAGCTGAGATTCTAAGCAAGTGGCAGAAAATCAAACTCTCTATGCCGGAAGATCTGGACATGCAGCAGAAAATCAGAGCTAAGTACACACGAGTATGGCTGGTGAGAGGCAAGATAGCGGGCATAAACGGCTCCCGCATACGCTGGAAAGACTGGCACAACTGAGAAGTGGGGCTCAGGAGACAGACAACCCAATCACCAGACCTACAAGACCCCACTTAATCTGTTCACAAGCCAGCAAGAAGAGGAAGAGCAGGGAAGCAATCGACAACTTACAGGTATGGAGTTCCAAATTCGACACTCCAGACGTCTTTCGTACCCACTCTCCTTCAGCGTTTCTTGATTCAACTTAAATATGGCAGGCTTTGGGAAGCAAACCTGACAGGAAATGTAGAGGGAAGTCCTCCAGGCATCTGGAGTAATCAATGCTGTTCAGGCGTCCGTCGGCCAAATGGAATGAAGTGTGAGGATGTCTTTGTTGTATATCTGACTTCCCGGTGGAATAGGAACCAGACTGTTGCTAGCTGTAACGGATATGGAGCCAGGGCCATAAGGACCTGTTTAATAATTCTAAAAAAAGGAAGGAAAAAATAAGGAAAGGATGCATCCTTCCATATCGTTACAAATTGCCTTCTTGTCAAGACAGAATGAAAATAATTTTGCATATGGTTTCTGGTGAACCACAGGAACGACTTAAAGTGGAAGAGGGAAAGGCTTGAGGGCGGTGTCAACAAGATAAAGCTCGCAAGTGAGCAAGTTGCCGACCTGCAAGTGAATTTGAAGCAGGAGCTCATAGTCGTGGAAGAGAAGAAGGCAACGACAGACCAGTTAATTGTGAACATTGGCCAAGAGAAGGCAATAGTCGATGAGCAAAAGAGTTCGTCAGCACGAGATGAAGAAGAATGTGCGCGGATAGCATTTGAGGTGCTCGCTTACCCCCTTTCCTATCCCACTTGCATTTGTTTCACATTTCCGAAGCTGATTACTACAATTTGGGAAACTGTTACTGGAGCTGTATGAAAGGATTGCGTTGCGTGTGCTTGAGAATGTCAGCGAAATCCCCTCCTCCACCTTATCCTCCTCCTCCTTGGCATCCTCCTCCTATGTTATTAGTGCCTTAGTAATACGCCACATCCTCGTCCTTTTCCTAGACTCGTTCTGACCCTACTTGTTTCTGTAGTCCTCAACGTCTTCCTCATCTCCATCCCACATACCTTCTTGTATCTGCTCAGCAGCTAGTTTCCTCTTCTTTCTTATCTCCCTGCACTTCTTTGTTCTCCTTCTCTCAACAGTTAATCCTCCCTGTCATAGTAATCAATGCTGTCGGGGAAACGTCAAGTGGGTTTTTCGTGTATCTGGTTAACTTGCCAGTGGAGAGGAACTGCATTGATGCTCCACAGAATGAACTGGAGCCCGGGGCCTGTTCTTTTTTCTTAAGCATGGCCGATGAGCATTGAAAGATGAGACACAAAATCGAGAAGTTCAACTGGGAGGGGTGTGACACTGAAACCGTTTCATCAGATTGCATGTGGCAACATACGCAGCTGGCTGGTGTATGGAGATGCAAAAGTTTGCGCGTAATTCCTGACAATGAAAGTCCAAAAGTTCCCAATAACAAGTTTGAAGTCGTTTTATGCTTTCGCCTGCTTTTCTGTCCTGTTTGTTCTTTCACAGGTTGCCGAGTACCAGGTACAATGCGAGGCAGACTTGGCAAAGGCTGAGCCCATCATCAAGGAGGCTGAAGCCGCTCTCAATTCCTTGGACAAAAGGTCACTAGGAGAGCTGAAGTCATTTGCGAACCCCACCCTTGAGGTATGTGTTCAGTTGTAAAGGCTTTTTTCGTTTTGTTTTTCAAAAGGGGATCAACCCCTAACATTAGTGTGGATGAATGATACACCCATCAACTGTTCAGATAAGGAAAGTAACTCTGAATTACATGGGACTAGTCAGTCTGATAATGATATCTTGAGGTTGTTGCTCTTTGAAAAAAAAAAAAAAAAAAGGCGTAACATTTTTGTTCAATGGATTTGAATTTATCAACAATTATATGTGTCAAACTGTGCCATCCGTCACTAGGGATGCATCTGTGAAGGCAGTATTCCAATTTTGTCAACGACCAGTGTGAACACTGTGAAGGCATTATTCCAATTTTGTCAGCGGCTTTTCATTATCTGTGAGGACATCTCCTTCCTCTGTGTGTGGTTGATCAGACTGCACATGCTCTTTTTGTTTGTTGATATCAGTGTGTTCCAACTTTTCTCTTTCATAACTGCTGAGCTCTGAACGGGCTTGGGTCATAATTGCAGCCTATTCTCTGCTAGCAGCTATGACCTCTGTAGCCGTTTCAGCAGATATTATTCTCTCTTACTCTGAAATCAACAAGACGCCAGACCACAGTTTCCAGCAGGTGTTCCTCCCCACCAATAAGATCGGCACCATGGGCGCCGGGGTAGTACCTGGTGGTGTTCATATCACCCCCGGATACCACCCTCAGCAATAGAGGCCAGATACCATAGAGTCAATAAGATCGATATGTTGGTGATGGTCACCCGTCCTTGGAGGCGGGTGTCTCGTGATGGCTTTGGTTATCAGACTCTGGTCCATTCCAAGTGCCCTCCTTGTTTACCATAGCCTAGGTAGCACAAGGCCTCCTCACCTGATTTGCTTTTCGGCAGGTTTTGCATTTACTCGATTTTGTTCCCTTTATTTTCTGTTGGATTCATTCAATTTCATACCCAATGCAATCACAATTACGTTCTTTCGTTCTTTCGGATCACTCTGGTACAAATCAGCCTTGTGGGCCCTAAGCAAGGAATCAGTCAAAGCACCCAAGTGCCAGATTACTGCACTGCTGAGGGGCAACCATGAGTGCAGAAACGTAATCAGCAGGGTGGCATGGGGTTCGATGATCCTCCCAAAAACCGAAGGAGGTCTTGGCTTCCTGGACCATGCCATTTAAGTCATGGCGCTATTTGTTCAATGGGTTCAAGGACTGTTGTTCTCCCTAGACGCTCTTGGAAAGCCTTAGCACTTGAACAGGGAGCCAGATTGACACCCCAAACTCCACGCACAATAAACCCTCTAATCCGGCTAGAGACCTCTGGGTGAACATTTCCTCCGTGAAAGATGGTTAACGGGTCCTCTAATATTCAGCGTGTATATAGAGTGCATTCAACGTTCATACACACTCGGACATAAACACTCGAACAGCAGAGGTGTTCTTCAACATTTTGAAAACTCATACATGAGTGTGTAGTAATGTTGAAGATTCTGAAAATTGTGACGTGGTGAAGAAGCTGAAATTCTGAACTACACCCCCTTTCGTTCGAGTATGTAGGAACGTTGAAGATTCTGAAAATTATGCAGTGGTGAAAAAGTTGAAGATCCTAACCCCTCCCCACCCTCTCTAAGCTTGTAAAAATGCTGAACTTTTTTAACTTTCTAAAGTGGTGAATCCAATGAAGACGTTGAACCGACCCCACGTATTTAGGTTTGTACCTTCATCCTTTTCACCACTTCAGAATTTTCAGAATCTTTAGCATTCCTACATACTCAGACGAAAGGGGGTGTAGTTCATAGTTTTCAACATCTTCACCACTTCAAAATCTTCAGAATCTTCAACATTTTTTTTTTTTTTTTTTTTTAATAAACAGGTCTTTATTGTCCTGGCTCCATATCCATTCTGGGGAGCGTCAGCTCGGTTCCTTTCCACCGGTAAGTCAAAAATTGGAATACATGGTGAGCACCCTTACCCTTCCTTCGATCTGGCCGAAGGAACCCTGACCAACATTGATTATTCCTTATTAGGAGGATTGACTGTCAGCTTGCCCTACCACTTTCCCTCTCAAAGTCGACTGTGTCTCTGTCAGATACTACGTTTAAAGCAAGAAAAGAGGAGAGATGGTTTTGCTGTTGAGATCAGGGTTGCACCGGCGCCGACCGCCAACCCCGACCTCCGATCGTTTTGTCCCGACCGATCGGCGATCCGCCGACCAGTCAGAAAACAGGCATCCGCTGCTTTTTTTTTCCCTGATTGCGCAGCCTTACTGCGCTTGCTGAGCACAACCCAAATCTGCAGAGAAAGTTTTTGGGATGGGGGAGGGGTATGGGGGGTTGGGGTTGGAGCACACCTGCGGCGCAAGTGTGCTGGTCACCGATGCGCAAAAAAAAAAAAAAAAAAAACGGTTGTTATGAGAACACGCAAAAGAGAGAGATAGATAGAGAGAGAGAGAGAGTGAGGGGGAAAAATGTAAACAAATAGCTCCTTATTAATATTTATTTTAAAGCCCCTGCGGGTTATCCGAGAGGGCCCTGCACACAATCAGCAAGGGCCACGTTGCCATGAACGAGGTAGTAGTCATAGTCATGCTAAAGGTATGGCACGCCAAGTATATATGTTGTTGATTCACTTTAAGGTCCGTGTTTCAGCAGTTATGGGACCACTGAGCACGCGAGTTTCAGGGCAATAGCAGGCCACTTGTCATAGGAAAAGGAAACAAAAGAAATAGAGGAATGAATCTTCTGCTAGAACATGGAACCCGTACGCCGCCTTATGTTTTGTCTTTTGTGCAAGTGGTGAC